AAACCACGCTTTTCCCACTCCCATGTAAGAAACATTTTTAACAGCCTTGTGTAGAAGAGCTATTAGCAACCTGCTTCTCTCTTCTTCCCTAAAGTGTAATCATCACTTCCCTAAAGAGTGATGATTACAACTCCAGGGGGGCAATTTCCATTGCCTTTTGCTTCTGGTAGCCACTTGCTCCTTGCAAAGTGAATGTGACACACAAGCCTGGGTCCAGAGACCCGGTTTAGTGAGCAGAGCTTGCGCAGATAGGCGTGGACCCGGCTGGTGGAGATACCAATGCTCTGTCCTTGGCAGGAGGCTGGAGACTAAAGCTCAAGTACTTTAAGCTGCTTTGCTGCTCTGTAGTCCTAGACCAGTCATCTGTTTAGTCAGTGTAAACCTATTTTTGAAGGGCTTTTTTGGCAGGTTGTGAATATTATGATTATTTAATCTGACCCCCTGCACCCTGCATAGCAGAAGTCAAACAATTCTACCCTGAGAATTCTTCACTGGTTTGAAGACTTAAAGAAAATTTGCTTAAATCTCCCAACCATCTGCTGCAGTACTCAATTATCTTGACAATTCAGATTTGCTTATTTCTAATTTAAAGCTTTCATACTTGTCCCAGCCTTGGATTTTGTTGTGCCTTTTCTTAGATTGGATTAAGAGAAATGCAGCTGAAGGCATATAACTCCATTCTCTTTCCACCGGTCATGTTATGTGACTTTGGGGCTGGGGCCAAAGGACTCTAAAAAGACTCTACAGTACTGGAGTATTTTTTCCTTGTCACACCAAAGCACGTCAAGAAATGCTCTAGAAATCTAGAGACTAATGAAGCAGATTTAACAAGCTGGAGCATCTGGCCTTCTACATATCTTCCTTTAGCACTTCCACCAACTGTTGTTTGCTCAGATCTACTGGAGTCTGTTTATATAGATTTTGCCCAATCTGCTCTTTCTGGTAATGTTCATATTGTTATATGTTTGTGTGGAGAAATTTTAAAAAATTAAAAAAATGAAAAAGAATATGAACTGAAACATTTATGTAGTCTAGAATGACTTAAACTGAAATGATCCTCATCCATGCTGGAAGCTCAAAGTACAGCAGTACAAAACTGAAACTGCATTAAAAAGAAAGTAAGACTTGCTGGGCTCGTTATGCTAGTCAGACTGTTCGTAAAATCATGCATAAAATAATTAGTACTAACCTCCTATGCAAATATGGCAATCTGAAAATGAATTCATTTGCACAGCATATGTGTAGCTCATTAGAGACCAGGTAACAATTGTTATAGTATTTCTTAGATGATTCTCAGGTGTTACCATCATATTTATTCCCATGTTCATTGTACGATGTATCCCCAAATGCCACAGGCGACTGCTGAGATGTGCAGCAGGCTCGGGATCAGATGCTGTGGGCTGGGTCCCACAAAGAGGGACTGGCTGCAAGAATGGTGCTGGCAGCAATGCTGCGCGGTGTGCTCTGGAGGAGAGTAACTGCTGCGTTACCCTGAGGGTGCTTTTCTAACTGAGTCCACTTGACCAGCAGAACCTTAACTGAGACATAGATTGCATAGACTTTAATTGAAAAATAAAAAAAGAAGGGAAAAAAAAAAACCCAAACCCTCTACAAGTAAAGAGACTAAACTTTCGGCACTTACCGCTGAATATACTGTCATTCTCTATACTCCAGCACTGCAGTAGTTTTAGGTGGGCTGACTCCTCAGACGTGGGCTCTTGCAAGGCCGAGTCCAAACCAAGGAGCCACTAGAAACAAACCTATTCACAACTGTAAAGAGAAAAAGAGCTAGATTTTCTATGTTTAGTGCCACTTGGGTCTAAAAATCTCATCAGCACTCCAGAAAAAGCACTTCTCCCATCTCACTGAGTCCCGAGCTGAGGCATGCAGCAGTTTGGGAGTCACCAAAAAGCCGCGGTGTGTGTGAGATACAGAGCAGGAGTCAAGAGTCCCAGTGCTTTGCTCTGTACAGAGACAGTAAAGGAAGGAGGCATAAGGTGCCTGGGATGGACCAATGCCTATCACTTGTAGTTGTCAAGAAGGTGTATTTGCGTTTCTCTGATGGGAGAAGCTGACATCTCAAAGAGGCAAACACATGGAGTACTTCCAGTGATGGGATGGTGTTTCCCCATGTCCCTGGGGAGCAAAATTTCCTGTCACTTCCCACTGAATTCTCTTCTACAACAAGTCAGCCCAAATGCATACCTGCGGTGCTCCTGATTTTTATTAGGTAGCCAAAATGCTGGTTTTTGTTTTCTAAACAAAAAATCTTCTGACCCTTCACCATCTCACCTACATGCCACATTCTAATCAATACTTATCTCCATTCGATCATCCCACCATCTCTCTCACATGATGCTGAAAAGCCCTGGAACAATTAATTGCTAGACACAGCTATTTTCTACCTAGGAAGCAAAAATTAACAATCTTGGCATTCTATTTTTAAATAACAAATAGAAAATATTTATTTTACAGCATTTTCAAGATCATTTTGACAAAAAGGCAGTTTTCATCAAGCATTTGACAGATCAAAAGAAAACTTTTACAGGAAGCTTCATAGATCATACAACTACATACACAAGGTGAGTTCTTGCTCTTTAGATATATCTATGCATGTGTATGTTTCCAGTTTTAACAATTACAAACTAAAAGCTATTATACTGAATTCCAAGAAAACTCCTACTCATGGTATAATTACATTGCAGTAATAAAATCAGTGCTTAATATGTTCAAAACAGACAGATATGAAAACAATAGTACCTTGCCACATTACCAACTCCCATCTATACAAGCTCGTTATATTTCTTATCTATCTCATTTCTTCTAAGACCAGCTTCCTAGTACTAGCTCTGTGCTACTGACAACATATGTTTTCGGAAACAGCACAACAAATCTTATACTAAGGTTATAAGAAGATAGAATTCATTGCCAGTGCAGTGATCAGCAAAGAAAATATGTCATTTTTCTCATTGCTTTAATGAGTAATCAGCATTAAAAAAAAAGAAACAACAACAACAAAAAAATCCCCCTAAAAGCCCCAAGCAGATAAAAATCAACCAACTGACCCTCAGGTGTCTTTATGTTCATTATAGAGACGTCAATCTACTGACAAAGACATAACTGAGTCTTTGGGCAAAGTCAGTTCATGCTTTCCACATCGTGACGATGATAGCAATTGGCCACCAGTCATACTGAAAGGAGCAAACATCATGAAAAGAAGGTGAGGAAAAAAGGCTCTATCTGGTTTTGAGCACCAGCCAAACCTTCTAATACCACTACTATATAATTAGAGCAAAACAATGAGATTTGGATCTTCAGAGAAGAATTGACAACTGGCAGCAGGACTTCTTAAAATTCAAGTGAATTCAGAAAAACCCTGGTAGAATATTCATAAGAAGCATGGTTAAAATCAGGCTTTGCAACTATATTATCATGAAAAGATTCCTTAAAACCATTTTTGGAAATAAAGTGTAAATCTGTGGGACAGATTCTTAGCTAAATTCAATAGCACAATCAAAGTTCATAGCAGGTAAAATCCTGTCTTGTGTATGTATAATACGCACATTTATAAATAGGGTAACATGCCAGCCACCAGGGAGCTGTGGATTAGGCCCACCTTTAGGAAACACATGAAGGATAGAGGAGGAGGAATGAATGACAGAACTACAGCTGCCTAGAAGTGGCCTTTAGGATACAATATTGTATATTAAATAGAAGAAGTGAAAGTGTATGGAAAGAACATGCAACTAAACATCATAAAGAGATTAAAAGAACTGTCTATAACAAAACATGGGAATTTATGCACACATTAAGCACTGATGAAATTTCCTGTCTGGACATGATTTTAAATGATCTAAAGCAACAAAATAGTTTAATTACTTCTCCTGTCTCGCCTTTATACTGGCATGTGCAAGATTTCTAAAACAGACTTTTTTCTTTTTGTGTTTTCTTTTTTTTGTTAACCACACTTGCTGCAAACATGTAAAATAACAAGTTCTCAATGCACTGGTTATTAATACCATATGTCTACTTCATAAAATACCTGCAAAATAAAGCACCCTATTATAAGGGTAACAACTGTCTCAGCTTGTATATGAAAAAAAAACGTGTTAGCACAGCATACAAACCTCCAAAGTTCTATCGAATATTTGTAACAATGCAATATAAAACATGATTTAAACATAAAAATATTCATAGTATATAAGACAATCTTCCAGTGGTAGTTATTGGACATTACGCTTCACACATATCGTACACACGCATACAGAAACACAAACGTACACTCACACTCTTGCTTCGAGACTGACTTTATAACCCCAGTATGGAATTGCCTTTCTTTCAGAGTAATAGTTGTTGCTCTAAGTATACAGCTATTTTTCAATGTATTTGATTCCAAAGAAACACAAAGGAATGATGTAATCACATGGTAAATATGTTGTATTATGAAAAGTTAGTCAATAAATATTGTTCTGCTACAGGAAATGTTGTGTAACAGTTTAGCCACATGGTTTGCAATCTTATACAAAAGGACAGTTTTTCTAAGTCATTGTCATACTTTTATCATACATTACAAGTACTACAGCAAGGGCTTTCTTCAGAAACCTCTGGAGTCTTAACTTGATCATATTTCTTGCTCTGGTCACAATCACTGCTAAAAAAAGCCCAGATCCCCCAAAAAGCAACCTAGTATGAAGAACAAATTGTTCAGAAAAAAGTCAGTAAGAGCCATGTGCTTTCACATTATCTCAGCTCCTCTCCCCCAAAACAAGTTATGCAGTTATGCCACCCGTAGAAAGCATGAAAAAAAAATTTATGCATATATGTCTCATATAGCTTCGTTCCTCCTCACCGCACTCCGCCCTTCCAGCTCCTGTAGCAGACAGACAGCAGTCATGAGATGTGCTAATGACTTCTCCAGGTCACACTTCCCAGAGTCCTTTTCAAGCATTGCCAAGAGAGGGTGTGACTAAGTGTGATTCTTTTTTTTCCTGTGTGTTTATTCATTTTTTTGCTATAGAAGTTGTCTCTTGGGTTTGTGCTTTGTTATGGTTTCCTAACATTTTCTCAAAGTACAATATTTTTATTTTTAACAGCTAGAGAATTTTGAGCCCTCAGAATGGATTTTTTTTTTCTTTTTCTTTCCTTTTATTGGTTTATTTAAGTGCAGGATGAAGTTTTTGCCCTGTCATATGTGACTTTGTTCTCTGCTCTCTCTCCGCCCAGCCCCAGGAGACTTGTCTCCCCAGGACCTCCCAGCAGGCATCTGCTAAAGTCCTTCTTGTCTTGTCTCTTGCAGAGTCTACAGGGTGGACGAGCTTTGCTTATAATCCCTCAGGATGACAGAGGCATAGGTCACATCTGGGGGGGTGCAGAGGACTGACTCCGAGACAGGGGAGCTGGGCACAGAGCTGCCTGAAGCCACTGAATCCCGGAAAGGGGACGGGGGCGTCAACGCCGGAGAGTCTTCCAGGGTGAGCTTGCTGGTTGCTGGCTCCTCCTCCTCCTCTGGGTTCTTCTCATAGACATATCCCTGAATGAGCTTCAGCTTCTCGCTCTCTGCTTCCTCAGCTGGGGGAGACAGGGTCTCCTCGCTGAAGGCAGCCACCTGGACAGGCGGCAGGGGTGGCTGCTGCGGTGGCTGGTAGGGGGGCCGCACGCCATTCCCCAAGCCGGGCGCGGGGAGGACAGCGTTGAAATCGGGGATGCCGGTGGCAAACTTGTTGACGACTCCTTGCAGCTGGTCCATGAGAGACCGCGGCTGCAGGGGCAGCGTCTTGGGGGGCTGCTCCGGCAAGAAGAGCTGGGTCTCCTCTGCCGTAGCCTGCAGTGGGGGGGTCGTCGCCACCCGCCTGTGCACCACCATGGAGGGGCTGCCGGGCTGGTTGAGGCGAACAGGCTCTCTATCTTCTTCCTCCACCACATTGTACAGAGTCTTACTGCTGATGTCGGTAAAAGTCAGGCTCTTGCTTTGGCCATGGTAGCTTTTAGTGAGGGGTTTGATTACCGCTGTCTGATTGCACCCTGTCTCCTGGCTCTTCACATGCACTGAGAGTCTGTGCCACATGTGTTCCCCCTTGGGACCTTGTCTTCCACCTGGTTCAGACCATGACACAGACTTTCCATTAGAACTATGAATAAAATAAAGATGGGTTTATTTGCATTTACGTTATGCAGACACAGGCAGTATAACAAACAAGCCTACAAAAATACTCATTGCTTTGCCTCATTAATAAGCTTCCCCCCTCCAGTTCTTTTTGTCCACCCAGAAATACTACAGAAGTAAAGAACTTTTTTAACAGCAGCAATTACTGTGATTTTCATCCAAAGGCAATTCCCTGATGGTTACCCACCCCACTGCCAGCCTGGAAAACCTACCCCACGGGAGGGCTGGCTGTGTTTCGAGGACTCTAGCTATGTCATTTTGTATCTAGGTTTGCTCACCCCACCTTGCAGGGGAGAAGAAAAAAAAAGGGGTAAAAAGTCACAGCCTAATTTACAGCTTATTGGAAACATTGCCAAACTGTTGGAAGAAAAACAACCCACAGCCTTAGCCTTTGGCACTACTGGGTAGAGAGAGGAATTGTTACTAACCCTCCTTTCTTTTTCATTCCCTGGCCCCCCTTTGCATTTAGGAAACAGATTAGCTATTACAGAAATGAAGGACTCTCAGGACCTCCATCAGGTAAGAGACAAACACACTTCTTCCCAAGCGACTATTATTTACAAACCAGGATAAAATGCTGGGATTGCAAACAGTTGGGTTGTGTGGGTGGAGGAACAAGCAGCAACACGATCATGGCGAGTCAAACCCTCTGACTCTGCACAAGGGCTGGATCCCATCAAAACGCTGGGCTGTTTGGCTGAGTGAGGACCTGAGGGTCAGGCCTGTCCCTGAGAAACTGCAGTGGGTTTTTTGCATTTCCCTGTACCTTTGCAGGGAGAAGCACTCACAGGTGAGCAATATCTCATTAGCAGCTGGTGGTACAGGGAGCTGAGCGGTGCTTAAAAGGACCAAGCAATTGTTTAATTGCAGGTCAGGCAGTAGAGATCATTTACAAATTAATATATACATCACCTGGGTGGAAACGAGAGACCGCAGACAAATTCTGAGATGATTTATGCGAAGCAGCCTTATCTCAGGGTTTCATCCCTTAGGGGGCAGAAGTAAACAAAGGATTACATTTCAGACCCTGTGATTGTGATGCAGGTGGGAGGCAATCTGGGTGGGAGGCTGGCACAGCAGCGTTGTCTCCTGCTACTGCACACACCAGGGGAGATTGCTTCCCTTACAAACAGCCTGCAATATTGTTCTGAGTATTTTGCTTTTCCTTGCTCAGGCTCCTGTGCTTCTCTTTTTTCAGGGAGTAAATAATTACCAGTTGAATTTTATTTAAAAAAAAAAATCGATTGACTTTGTGATAGCTGGAAGAAACTGATACAACACAGACAATGTAAATCTGGCAAAATGGAAAGGAAATGTAAATGACAATGTGGCACTTTTCTGATGAGCAGTAAATATTTCTGAAGAAAAAAAGAAGTTGAGATGGATCCAAGCCAGGAAGTTCATCTCCAATTCCAGACTCCAAACACTGGACCTGTGACTCGTCACCTCTGTGGGAACTAGCTCACGGGAACGGGCCAATCTAAAAAATTTGTAACTCCCCAAAGCATGTAGATGGTAGGGCCTGGAGCTGTTTGGATTTAGAGCTTTAACCTAGAGGGAAAAAAAGCCAAGTTCCCAGCTGAAGAATGAAACTTCTATATTATAGTGATCAATGAAAAGATAAGAATGAAGGTTTAGAAGCATTCCCGTTTTGATCAAAATGAGCTGTGGTATGACTGTTTTTTAAGTGCTATAGGGATAAGTAAATGAATGTAACTGTGGGACGTGAAAGGTTTTTCAAGTAGTATTTTAACATACCGAGATCTACAAACTCTTCACACAGAAACACATTTTGTCTGCTTTGACTTCAAAACAAGTCTCTTCTTGTAGAGAGGAAAATGTCAGGTGCTCTCATATTATATTTTGCTGACGCTATAACTTACAAATACCGCAGAGGGCTTTTCTGAAAAAAAACAATTATGATTACCTGCTGTCTCTTATTCTAAGTCCACTTCTGCATCATTTACTTCTTCATTTCTAGCTCTGGTGCATCATCTCACTTTTGAATCCCCCCTCACACCATCTGTTTAGTCTCTATCTCATTCTGTTCCCAAGATTTTGTATTTTAAATCAAAGGCAAGTATTGCTATTTTAAGGAACTCACTACCTGTGTCTTCAGATCTTCCTCCTATTCAGTTCATTTACCTCCCCCTCACTCTCATATTCTGCTCTTTTGACTTCTTTCTTCTGTAGCACTCTCCATAATGTACTTAATCGAGCCCAAGTCAATAGCCGTACTTAAACTTGCTGGGACTGCAATACCCAAACATGAACTAACTGCTTAATCAGGTTTTGTCTGTTACCAGCTTGCTCTACAGGGAAAGCTGGTGCTGCCATAGCACCCTGCCTCTGCTTGCCAGCCCATACAGCTCATGACTCTGATGGCCTTGTGATAAGAAGCTTTAGATCCACAGTGGCTCTCCATGGGGTCAATCTGGTGATTTCCACCAGGAAATCTCTCTTTTTTGTTACTGTTCTCCTCAGTCTCTCATTCCAGCTCTTTCCCTCAACTTGGTCTCCTTCCTGTGTCCACGCACTGTTAGCCTGTTAAGGAGTCATGTTTGAGATGGAGTCACAAGACTGTCATAGAAATACCTGGGCTCTGTCTTGCTGGACAGCTGGTAGGGAGTCACGCTGAGATTGACACATTCAGGCAGAATTAACAACTAACATGCAAGAAAAATGGTTGTTATCCTGGAACAAAGACCAGCCATCTTGAATGTCATTAATCAACATTTAGACAAAAAACTAAGATGGTGCTGGAAAAGCTCAGACCTGAACTGGGTCTTGGTGAGATAGATAGGAGTCAACTCACTTGTGCAAAGTGATGATGACAATCCTGACTGCATGTGGGATGCATGGTCATTGTTCATTAAGTGATTGTTACCTTCTTTTTTGAAGGAAGCATCTGTGGGAGAAGGTGAAGATCAAAATAATCTGCCTGGTATAACAGTAGAAGGGATGATTTTTCCACAAAAAGGCAGGAGAGGGCACCAAGTCAGGTCACAGTTGGGGTATTGAAAACATGATGTTCAATTACACAGTGACAGGGTGGGACTAACTGGTGTTTTCTTGCTCGTATCAATAGGACAGTTACCCATTTTGTGTCCATCATGTATTTATTTGCCTTTCCTAACTTCCTCTCTCCTTTATACAACATTCCATATGAAAATTTAGGCTTCACACTTACTGCCTAGAAGTGAACTCCTTGGAGTCTCAAGGGATCTTAAGGTTTGTAGTTGTGTATACCCAGTGTACTGGGTACCCAGTACTCCAAGTACTATTTCTTCAAATCCTTGCATCTAGCCTAAATGTTCAAGCAGGTTCTTGGATATCCTGTCAACACATAAAATGGGCTTGCTTTTGTTTTATAGGCAAGGACATACACTGAATTTAGCCGCTCTTTCTCAATTTTCACTGCAGCTTTGTCCAGGGTTTTTGTACTTTGGGGGAATAGACATATTTCTTGTGTGAATTTTTATTAGTTCCATGAGCAGATCTGTCACTGTTTGGTAATTCAAAGTGCGGGGTTTTTTTTAATACATGCATCGATCTTTACAATGTCGTCTCTGCATGACTCTGGGGCAGTCATTTTCAGATATTTTCAGCTGCTAATTATAGACACTAAGCAAGCTGGAAAACAACTTCAGAACTTAATAGTTACTTGCAGAAAGTCTTTAAAAGAAGTAATGTACCCAAATCTGAGACTGTGGTCCAAAATATCCCTGCCCAACTGTAAGACATGGCTACAGCTTGTTAGATGGCTCACTGTTCATTGTTAAGTATCTCCAGGTGCCTAAAATCCTGCTCCTGCTTGTGACTAGGACTGCCTCGACCCAATCCAGTCGCGGGCCAAGAACAGAGTCCTGCTCCTGCCAGCGCCTGGGGGATCTGACATTGTTGGCTTCCTTGGAGCAATGTCAAGAATGAGCACCCCACAACAGGTGGTTCCTCCCCACACTTCAAGGTCCTGAAGATGTCTTCAGACATTGGATAGCAAAGGTTTCTTTACATCTTAGAAGCTGAATGCTCCTCAGGTGGAAGATGATTGCCACGTTGCTCTAAGGTAGTCTAGTCTGTGTAACTCTGATCTTCTCACCAGCGAAACTATAGCCTGAGACCCAGAGCATAGAGAATTAGATGAACTTTTAGTCATGTATGCCTGAACCTTTGTCTTTTTTGCCTTGAACATATTATGCGGAACAATACCTAACTGATACCACATGAAATGGTTAAACAGAGTGATATGTGCTCTGATGAGGTTAACTTGAGGAATTGTCATGTTGGGAAATGGCTCCTCATCTGACGTAGTGCTTGTCACTGCCAGAGTGATAGAGCTGGAGATGCAGTCAGGAAAGTGCTTGAGAAAGACCCCTTCCAGTTAAAAAGGAAAGGACATTCCTTGAGCTGTTAGAGTTCATCCCCTGTTTCATCCCTTTAGGATGCCAAAGGTGTGGTTTGTTATCTTCTCCAAGCGGCCATGAGCTTGAGGGAGCATCATAAGCTTTCTGAGATGAAGGATAGTCGTTTGGGCCAGGTCTGGTGGTGTTAGAGAAGATTCATAGCACAGATTTATGATATAAGGCTTTTTTTTTTAAAAAGCAGCAATGGCAATTAACCAGTGGAAGAGGTTATAGGAGAAGAGATATATGTTCCTTTTCTTTCATTGTCAGACTGATGCTTTGGCCAGACCTACCGCCTTGTAGTCACTATAATAACTAAAATGCCACAGTCAGTAGGAAGCATTGAGATAACCTAGCAGTCCCTTTTATGAAGCTAAAATCTTAGGAATTAACATTAAATGCAACCCGAGAAAGGCCTATCAACTTTGTCAGCAAAAATCAGGTCCAAACCAAACCCTGAACTATCTTAGCAACCAGAGGTCAGTGTCGGGTACTGCCTGGTCAACAAATGATGCTCCCACCTTCACGGAGCAGGGCACAGTTACTGGCCGTCTGACAACTG